ATTTGTACATTCTGAGTTCTTGACACTTAATTCCTTTTATATTTCCCTATGTCCCACATAATTTATACATTGTAATAATAAAATTAATTTTTCATTTAAAGACTGGTAGAATTTCCTTCAACTACCAAACTGAACTTATATTGTACAAATATTTTCTGACTCCTCCTCCTCCTTCTCTCTCTCTCTCTCTCTCTCTCTCTCTCTCTCTATAATTTACATTATTTAACTATTATTACATATATTGATATGTTATCAAGTTCCGATAATGTTTTTAATGTTTGTGAATGTTCAAAATCTGTATATTAAAATAGTAATTATAATTTTGATCTTCCTCATTCATATGAATAAATTCTTTAAAATTTATTCTAAATTATGATGTATTTTACTTATATTTTTTTTTAAAATAAATCTTCACTCGAGTTAATATAGAAGAAAGAAGCTGTTTTTATGAAACTATATTTTTCTTTTTTCTTTTTATTGATTTTATTATAAGTGCCCTTTGTCTGAAATTTTTTGCACTATAATATTTAGTTCAAGTATTTTTTAAAGTATCTAAAAATTCTATCTAAAAATATAAATAAATAAATTTTATTTTATTTTAGAAATCAAAAATTTTAGTAGTAACTGTAAATTACTTGGTAATTGTAAATTTTAATCAAGTAAAGATCAATATATATATATATATATATAATTGTTACAAAATACGGTTTATAATGATAAAATATAAAAAGTAAATCAATATTATAATAATGTAATGATTGAAATTGCTATTTTAATTATAAGATATTCTGCCTTTCTTTTCTATGAAATTATTATACACATTTGCAAATATGCATATGCGTACTATTTTTGCTTTGATTTTTGATAATTTTCTTAATTCAGTTTTATCCTCATTTTAATAACTTTCAACGTTAATTAATCTATTTAATTAAGAATAGTATTCTTAACAATTAATATTAATAACTTACAGTAACTAACTTTTCGTAGTTTTCAAAACTTTTCAAACCATTGTAATTATATATGAATAAACATATATATATATATATACATGATAAGAATGGGATAGTAAAAACAAATTACTAGTCAGTGCACCATCGACGGGATTATATGAGCAGCTATCGATTTTCGATGTATCCTAATCTCACTTGAGAGAGTAAGCAATCTCTATCGTCTTAAATAAAAGCGAGATAGGGAAACGGTACAATGAAAAATTCGTGGAAAGAATAAAGAAATAAAAAATTATAGAAGAAACCTAATATTAATTGAGTAGACAAAATTACACAAAAATATAAGAAATGGCGCTTAGCAATCAGCCAATTGAACGAGACAATAGACGTTTCATGAATAAGAAAAGATAAGATCGATTCAGTTAACTCAAGCAAAAGCTATTTAGAGAAAGAAAGTAGAAGAATATAGTTGCTTGGAGTCATTTATTTACAAATTTACATTTACATAATAGTCATAATGTTTCTATAAATATTTTACTTTTACTCCTGCAAAATATAATTATTTTCTTATATATACTTGTGTATGCTCTCGGTTGTGCACGTGTCAATAAATATGTTTATATCAGTGTGCGTATATATTAATCGAAAAATCTTATCAAAGTAAAATAAATAATAAATATTTAGAAATATAAAGAGTATTCATATTAACAAAATAATACGTACACAGTGAAGCATAAAAAAAAAATTTTTATAAACTGATAATAAAGCATTGATATCTAATTAATGTTTATTTACATAATTAATACTTACATTTCACAGTATTTTCCAATTTTTTACTTATATTTGGTTTGGTAGATGTATATAAATTTCCAAATTTTCATTCAAAATAATGTATGTAAATGTTGGACAATATTAAATATAGAAAAATGTAAATAAAAATTTGACTAAAAAATTATATTTTCCAAGAGCTAGAAAATTAAATATTAAAGGAATATCGTTGATCTAATAAAATCTGGATAAATATGAATATTTGATATAGTAGATAATATAAGAACATCGTTGATAATAAACTTAATTAATAAATAATTAAGTTTAGCCCTTATTTTTTATGAGAATTATTTTAGAATTTCTTACATTACAATTTATTAATCTAAAATTACTATTATTTGTAAATAATTTCATAGTATATATCCTGAAATTAAAGGCAGCAAGTATTTAGTATATTTTAGATGAGAATTGGTCAGAAAATAATTTATGCCATGTAAAATTCAGATAAACACGAATTTTATTTCGTAAAATAAAAGATTTGTAGATCATGTATTACAAATACGAGGAAATCTTTGTCTAAATATTTTCATTTGAAGACCATAATTTAATTGTTTGTTTTGGTTAATATTAAAGATTAAATAGTTTGATAATTGGAGATGTTATTAACAAGAAATCCATTAAAAATACAATAAAAATGAATTTGACAATATAATGCTAATATTTCAGAATTATAAATATAAAATGATGGCTGCATACAATAATTTCCATTGCAAAAACATCCCCAGTAAATGATATTCTTTTAAAGTATACGTATGAAAAAAAAAACTTAAACTATGTAAGAAATATAAATAATAACTCAATAATTATGCGTATAATTTTTAATAAAATTAATTCTCTAAACGTATATTGCTATATTACCTTTTATTTATTTATAGAACTGAATAAATGCATGTATGTAATATTTTTAAATAAATCATTCAACCATAATTTATAAACTTTATAAAGAAAAATCTACATTTAATATCACTACACCTACATGTTTATAAGATATATTCTAAGCATTATTAGAGAAAATTATGTACTATATATAAATATTATTAAAATTTTTAATAATTATTTTTGAAAAAAATTTCAAAATTAATAATAACGTTATGGGCAAAACTTAACCTTTATTAACCGAGATCGATCGAATGAATGTTATTGATTAAAAATGAAAACAATTCATGGGCTACAAGAAGTAAAAGTGACTTAGTTGCTTTAGAAAGACGATTTAAATTAAAAAAAAAATATATTCGCAATACAATAGAGTAAGCTTTGCGACATAACTTTGTTAGGTATATATTTTACATAATTAGCAACAACAACAAAAAAAAAATATATATATATATATATATATATATATATATATATTGATTGATAACTTATACATAATTAGAGTCGATGAAAATAAAAAACAAACTATTACTTAAAAAATAGTACCTTTATATAAACGAAGATATACAGTTACGAAAATTCAAAGACTTTGAATCAGATAAAAATTGATTCGATAAATCATGATATGTTTAAAAAATTTAAGTAAATTCAAATATTTTAATATATCGTTAAACAATTAAAAGGCTCGGACATTTTTAATGCACGATTAAGAATAAATCGATTGTAAGTTTATAAAAATTCAATATAATTGCTAAAACAACTAATTAGCCTTCGATTCTCTATACATTTCTAGAAAATAATTATAAATCTATATATGCATATTTACCTATAAAGCCATAATGAAAGTATATACATATTTTTATCTTATTTTATATTTAACTAATTTTTATGTTTATTTTATTTATATTTATTTGTATCTGTTTCAAATAAATGAAAAGTATTTGATGTTAGTATTTCTTTGAATATAATTTATTTCATGAATAATGAAAACAAACGTGTGTGTTGATTGTGATGTCAGAATATAAATTAAATTGTTACAATTTAAGCTTTAGACAGGAAAAATTCTACATAAAAGTTCTACATAAGATCTCTAACATTAATCAATATTCCAATTACATTTACAAGTCACTAGAATTTATAACATTAAAAATAATATTTAAAATAATTAACGACTAAAGTGTAAATTTGGGAAACTACGTTTGTCTATTATAATATGTTTTGAATTAATGAATTTCAAAATATACATTTATAATATTATTCAATATTGACGAATTTTTACATTAAGTTATATGAAAGATACATATTTTTAATATAATACAACAAGTAGCTTTATATTTCAAGAACTAATATTATTAATTGAAAGATCAATTGAATAGTCTGAAAAGTTTCAATAAATATTCGTCATAATTTTTCTAAGTAGTATAAATAAAAAATTGTCAGACAAGAATAAGTAATCAACTATCCCGTGCACCTATTCGCTGGATAATTTTAATATAAATTTTTCAGCCATCCTACATTATTCGTATAGTAGAATCAAGAAAAATGTTTGAAATTATATTCTTACTAAATCGTGATTACTAAACTAAACTACAATTATAAATAAATTTATAACAGTGAAGTACAAAATATAAATTGCAGTTTGAAATAATCGACAATGTTACAAATTATAGCGATAAAATATCGTAAATTTAATTATTTTGTATATTCACGAGACCATTCGAAATGATTAAAAGTATTATTTCAATATTATAGATCAAAACGTACTGTATCATTAGGAATTGATAATATAAATTAAATGTATTGGTTTATAAATCTATAATTGATATTGATTTGAAAATTTCAATTCAAAATTGAAACTCATACTTAAATATATCAATATTTAATTATTCATAATGGCAGTTTATTAAAAAGTAAAAATAATATAATTAAATACATCTTAAGTATTAGTGATAAATTGAATAAAATAACATGTGTTTGTATATTAAAAAAGACTATTGTCTGCGATCACAAAGTGATGATAACTCAAATGGAATTTACATAGGCATCGGCAGCCCAAATGGAATAGCAAAAATATATTCGCCATGGAAACGAAATATCGAAACTTGAAATTCAGATGAAGAAAAGCCTTGAGCGTTTTGTTCCCAAATTTTCCATATTCTTAAGTGATAATAGAAATACATTCGATACAAGTTTGCAATAGATGTACACACACGTAAACTAGGAATTTAGAAAATTACTTGTTTAAATTTTCACAATCAAATGTATTTTGTTCCTTTCCACGAATAAATGAATCCTTTATATACTACAAGATAATAATGAAGTGTTCGGCTATTCATAGAATTTTATTTGTAGCTGAAGCAGGACTAGCCGTTGCAGCGGAAATGAAATCACCGGAGGAGCGTTCGGAAGAAGAGAAAATGGCACTTCTAGGCAGACCAAAACTTGGTGAGATATTTCGTGCTCAGGTTCGAATTAAGGAGTCTAAAGAATTCAAGAATACCGTTGATAAATTAGTTCAAAGAGCTAATGCATCGATAATATTAGGTACGACATATATTTATTACTCTTATATATGCATAAGAAAATTACTATTTAATCTTCATTCCTTAGCAATTGGACATATGTTAATAATAATTCAAGGATGCCCAATATAACAATTATGCATGCTTTATATCTAATAAACGAAAAACTAAAGTAAAACCAAATTGAATGTATTATAGATAATATTTAATGAAGTGTAAGTAACATTAGTAATTCTTCATTTAAATTTCAATCAAGGACTTGGTAAGCTTAGTAAATCCAGTCTATTTCATTATATCGACTGTATAAATAATATTATGAATCAAAATTATTCTATACAAGTTACTAATATTTGCTAACAATATAACATATATTATAACAGTATGATATATTATTAAAGAAAAATTTACGAAAAAACTACTCCATAATGAAAATTGACGACCATGTATACGCGTATTTATTATACCCCTCAAAAATTATGCAAAATTTACGACCAATCAGGTATACACACTTAAAAACTCAATTACTATTTGCATTATTTAAAGTAATGCATTTTTAAAGTTCTCGTTCTATTTGAAGGGAAAAAGCTTCACTTGATACATTAATATTCTGTTATCTTCAATATTATCATTTTACATTATTTTTAAAGCCTTTGTGCGCGCGCGCACACACACACACGCACGCACGCACGCATACACACGCGCATACTCACACACACAGAGAGAGAGAGAGAGAGAGAGAGAGAGTTAAAGAGAGAGATAAATTGTTCGATATATTCGCGTATATTATTATAATTCAATGATTTTATATATTTTTAATTACCAATTTTATAATCAATATTTTGTTATAGAAGCACTCGGTATCTTAATTAATTAATTTTACATATAAATATAAGAAAATGATGAGTTGAAGAAGAATATATCAATAACAATCAAATATGAGTTATTATTACGGAGTTTAAAATACCGAAATTCATCATAATACTAAAAGAAACTTTTTAATTTTTTTCATATTAGTTGTACTCATACTGAATATTATATTAAAAATTGTAAATAATAATATGTAAAATTACGTTGAATTAACAGAAATAACATAAATTGCTATTTCGTACATTGTTCATTTAATGAAAACGCATAAACAAAAGTCATATTAACTAAAACGTATTCTACTTCAAAATGAACTAACAAACATAATAAGAATAATGTAATGTAATTAATACTTTTATTAATTATCATAAAAGAAATAAGCCTGTTTGAAAATATATCGAGGTAAGTAAAAGTTTGATCGTAAATACTCGATAATATTATCATTAGAGTAATATTAATTCCAAAAGAATAGAAATTAGTGAAAATTACTGAAAAGGTTTTCAATACTCGAGAGACAAGAATATACTGATTGATATCTTAATATCGTCTTATTATAAAGAAGAAAGAAAGTAGAATTTAAGAGCAAGAAATATCATAGAAAATAATTATTATCGTGTTGACAAGGAAGGTGGTGAGGACGCCTAGATAATGCTGTAGGTCATGCTCGTGGAGAAAAATTCTGTCTCAAAATAAAAAATATGTTCGCTCTTTTTATAATACAATTGTAACTTGACTTGCCGATAATAACGGTACTTAAGATAAAGAGAAACTTTTTAAAGAAAGGAGCTCAACTTTATATCTCTGACATTTTATTATCTTTACTTATATTTACTCATAATTTACTCATATTATTTATAATGAAATTCGCAGTTTTTATCTGCCAACAAAAACTATACAAGTGCATGTATATATATATATATATATATATATATATATATGGTATAGAAGAAATATACAAGAATTGCAAATTTATATTATTTTATTTTCTTATGTTTATAGTACTTCGTACTATGAGAATACGTAGTTTTATAAAAATTTCTATGCTCTATATGTTTGTTTCTAACGAAAGATTTGATAGGTTGGCAGCTTGAATCGACAAAAATATGATATGACAATCTTATGTACGAAATAAACATAAAATTCAATACGATATAAATTTATTCAGAATCTTGATAAATCTATTTTTAAATTTAATTGCAAATAATTAAATAAGCATAATAACTAAATAAAACAATAATAGCAAATGCAGTGCGATTATATCGCTAAGTTTTTACGATTCTTATAAAATTTATGCAACTTTTTAATCGTCCTACACTCCCTTTCGAACGCTATCGAAATTAGTCTGGCTGCTTCATAAGTGGAGGTCAGTAACTTTATTAGCGGAAACGATTTCTTCAACACAGAAGCCTGAATAAAAAAAGTTATCACGCTATATTGTAACCGCAATCGTCTCGTGAACGCAAAATACGCTTTTTTTTTTCGATTTTACGAAGCTCTTACGCTTAATACTATACTTCAATCTTGTCCTCCTTCGCTTTACAATTTCTACTCGTAGCAATAAAATCCTCGCACTGCGTGTACTGATGAAATCAAGATAGCAGAAAATTACATATTTTCTGAAAAGCGTTAAGATGCGATTTTAAATGGAGAGAATTAATTGGGAGAATGAAATATTTAAAAGGCATAAGCAAACAACGATGGCTTTCTACGAACGAAAAAAGGGTGACATTTTCTTAAAATTAAAATTATAAGATCTGAACATAGAATATGTTGGGACTAAGATTTAATTTGACAATAACATAGAAAAATTCTTCTATTTTATGTCATCATTAAAATTGCTATTTAATTATATTTTTTTCATCATTCATTAATTAAATCTTTGAGGGATTTTATTAAAAATGAGTATATAGATTCATATTTCAACTGGTATTCGTTTCAAATTTTCAAAATTTCAAGAATATCCGAAAAGATATTTCTGAATTAAAATTTTAAGAACTTTGAAATTTATTTAAATAAACAAATTTTTAATAATTCAATGGCGGTACAGATAACAGAAAAATCTTTAATAATTGGAAAAACATTTCAATATATATCATAATTGAGACTATATAATAATATCAAGTAAATAATTAATATTATAAAAGAACAAAAACGTAGAGTTTATAAAAATTAAATATAAATCTATTAAATCTGCTTTACGATTCACTAATTTACTTCACCAATCCTATTGTGTATTTTTTGTTGTTATAATGTCATAATCGACACTAATAATTATGTAAACAGTTACAAAGTGCTAACAGAAATTTAATTTATTTGTATAAAGGCATTAATAATAAAATTGTTTAATGAAATACGAGAAAAAAAAAAATTTACGAATAATTAAATTAATAGGTTTTCAATGATACAAAAGATTAAAAAATTTTTTATAACTGTTTCTCTTACGAGTTTGTAAATTCTTTTCAATGTAACTCTATTTATTATTACATTTATAATGTTTATATTTATAATTTTTAATATTTATGATTTTAATCTATTAGTAATATGATGTAAATATTAACGATTTAACAATAAATAAACTTAATAATGAGAAATAGTATCTATATTTTTTCGTATTTTGATTATAAATAATCGAATATTAATTATTTTTTATGATTATTTTTTGATTACTTTATGATGTACTTTTAATTTGAAATTATACGACGAAAACTGATAATTCGTTCCTATGATAAAACTTCAGATATTATTTGAAGAGTTTCTTGACATTAACCGCAGCATTATCATACATAGAACTTGGAACGAAATGGTATTTCAGACCAGTGAGAGAACAAGTAAGTTTTCTTGGCATCAGTAATGAAAATGGTATTAGAATAATTAGAATAATAAAGCTCGCTCGCTGTCTCTAAGAATTTTATTCTTAAACGTTCATTTTATGCAGAAAAAAAAGTAAAAAAAAAAAGAAAAAAAAAAAAAAAAAAAAAAAAAAAAGATACATAAAGCAATTTGCATATTTTTAAATTTTTATGTCACCGAAACGATTGTTATTTAAGTCATCAAATATAAAGAATAAATGTTACAATAGAATAATTAACAAGGGTGAAGTAATATAAACACTGTACATTCAATTAATAAATAAGTAATATTAACTATCAAATTAATCAATGATTTATCTGAACTAAAATCAAAACTTGTAAAGTCTGCCTATTTGTATCATGTTTATTATTAATTTAATAATTGCTTTAAAGTTAATCCACTATAGTCTACATTTTACATTCACTTACTCATAAATACGGCAATTTCAAAATTTTTTTCAAACGCTAAATATCTCACAATCGATCTTATTTATTAAGTCAGTTACGCAATAATAACTCAACAATTCATACGAATGCAATTGTTGTAAATTATTTTGTAGAACGATAATTTTTTTTTTTTTTTTTTTTACTAAAACTTAAGCAAATATCACATGAGTGTTTAAGGATATATAATATTATATTTTGTCAAGAATTAAATAATTGCTTAAACGTAAAGTATTTTTTTCGTTTTATATTTTTTACATTTTTTTACCTCCTTAAGAAAACTTAAGCAAATATCACATGAGTGTTTAAGGATATATAATATTATATTTTGTCAAGAATTAAATAATTGCTTAAACGTAAAGTATTTTTTTCGTTTTATATTTTTTACATTTTTTTACCTCCTTAAGTCATCACATTTCAACCCAAAAAAAAAAAAAAAAAAAAAAAAAATTGTTGAGATAGAATTTCTACTACGTAAAGTGAAAAATCGTATTGTTCTAAGAGAAAACGATCATTTTCAATAAAATTTAAATTTCAATAAAAAAAGAAGGAAGAGATTTTAAAAGATTGCTTGAGTAGTTTTTATAAAAATCCTTAATAAAACATTAACAAATAATATTAATTTTGAAATAGTAAGCGTATAAGAATCTTTAATTCGATTACTTGTTTTTTTTTCAAGCTTTTTTTTTTTTTTTTGTTCTCATCTTTTAAATACATTTTAAAAATGTAACTTTTCAATGTGTACTTTACTATTATAATTTCTGCAATTTATTTGTATTTTAATACAAAAATTAATATTATTAAAATATTTGTATGAAATTGAATAAAATACAATTTTTAAGGTACATTTGAATTTATTCATCTA